ATGTTTACTTATAACTTAATAGAGACACGCCTAATATAAAAAATGCTGGGTAGTCAGAACAACAATGCTGATCAACTGAGTAGTCAATTCGTGACATCCATATAGGTAATTCCCGCGAAAATCGTCTCGGTTGATTGCATACGCGCCAAAGGGCTGTCAATCAAGAGGTAAACTTTTACTTCCGGTGAAAACGTAAAACCGCCATTTCTCCGCCAATATTTAGCCTTTTTCAAAAATTTTTTTCAGAAATTAGAGATTATTCTTCGACCTCTATTTTGACCCAAAAATCCAAATTTGAAGAAAATTGCCGACCCGAAGGTATACTGTAACCTTAAAAGGAAAATAGACAAACAGACAGATTTGAGACATTGGAGAAGATACAGTCATGTAGCTTCATGTGCTCTAATAGTTTTTGTCAGTGGTCATTGCAGTGGTTCTACTTCCTGTGCTTTGGACTATTTTTGGTAATAAATTACATTAGCTGCACAGTATTTCTGGGTTCAGTTTTAGAGTAACAAGACACTTAACTATATCTAGCACTCAATTGTCAAAGGAGTATATTTTATTTCATAATTTAAAACAGAGACCATCTCTCTTACCTTCTTCATAGTACCCTGAAGTGTCAACAATCCAAGGTAGAGGTCCACCTTCTAGCATGAGATTTTTTGTAGAGCACAAGGAAACTATGGCAATGTCCACAGGATCAAGAACCTGAAATTACAGAGACAAGCACTCTTTTAAATCTTACTAATGCTGACAATTTTTGAGCTTGGCTCAAAGCCTTACAGTTGGTTTTGTACACGTTTTGGACCAATTCACTCCAGGACTTTTCAAGGACTTTTCAGGGACTCTCAAGGGCAAAAATCCAACTTTTCAAGAACAGATCACTAGAAAGGTTTGGGCTCTTACACAACATAACAGTCATTATGATATCATACTGAACCACATGTACCAGAGACTGTATGTACATGTAGAATTAGGAATTGATGGAAACAAAAAGGCCTTTCAAAGAACTTTTAAAGACCCTCAAGGTGCATGTGAAATATAAACAAAATTGCAGTGTCTTTGGCTGTATTTGTGTAGTTCTCTCAGTGACAATTGTATCCCAAGTTGCCCTGTTTATGGTTTCTGAGTAAGTGCAGGGGAAGGGGATGAATCTTGATTATGAGCAGCATCAAATCTATGTCTCCTATGAACCAGCTTGTTAAGTCTTTGGACAGACACAGAGTTATAACTGACCTTAAGAGGATGGTAAGCACCAACAGTCACAGAAGCTTTCAGAATGATCTCCTTGTATTGATAGGTAACAGTCAGAGTAGAGAAGCCAGAACGGAGGGCAAGAAGCTTCACTGACATGCAACTGCCAGCTTGTATCTCATAATCTGAAATAAATACATGTAGGAATAAAACAGTGCATAAAGGCTGTTGCTGCCTGCTGATAATGAGTGCTGCATGGCTCAGCAATGAAATATCCACTCCAGCCTTGCCATTAATTACTGCCATAATAAAACAGTGCTTGCTGCCACGAGGGTCCATTAGTCACTCAGTAGAGCAACTGTTATTTAATCTTGTAGTTGTGGGTTTCAATCCCACCAAAGTAAATTATTTTACTTGTCTTGTGCGGTACTCCATTTCCTTACTAGTGCTTAGACACAGGAGTACTCGGAATTCATGGGCTTAATTTCAGCACTTAAGATTACCACAGAAATAAATTCTGCGATTTCCAACCATGCTAAGAGTCAGATTCAACACACAATACAATCTCTTCTTCAGACTTACTGTGGTCTTCTTCAAGTTTGAAGATTGACGGGTCTGAAAATGTGTACGTCACAGGAAGAGTTCGGCAGTCAGTAAACACATGCAACTCTTGGCACTCTGAGGAAAAAGGACATTAAAAACATCACTGTAGTTTCTGCATCTAAAGCAAGCAACATCTTGCTTTTAGTTTAACATTAATTAGTTTAATCAGCTGCTAAAGATAAAGCTTCTGATTTTCAAACTTGAATTTAACAGTACCTTTATAAATACAACAAGCCACTGCAAGTGGGAGTGAGATTGAAGTGCCAACTTGAGCTTCAACTACCGAGGGAATGAACTCCATCTTTTTTGGCTGAAGAACATACACCTGACAAAGAAATAATGAATAGTGACAAGAAAGGGAAAATATCAGCAAACATTCTTGGCAACACTATCAAACTAAAACTGCAGACTGGTTGGCAAAAGGTGTACACTTCTATACTGATTATCTTCAACCACAACACATTTTTGGTTATTCATAGTTTTAAATTAACACACAATGCATTGGACATTTTTCTTACAACTACAGTTTATAACCACACAATCAAGCCAGAAAAACAACCCAACAATAATAACATACTACAATTTACAGATACATGTATACGTTTGGATAGCCCTGCCAATATATTATGTACACTGTATTACTATAACAGATTTGTTTTGTCTTTCATAGTGTCTTGTAAATTAATAATTATATTTATGTGAGGTGACAAGTTAGATAAGCCTTGTTTTAGCAGCACTACCTAACCATGCTTCCAGAATATTGTACCAAAATCTTGGATGATTCCACAGTTGTTGGAAAATTGCAAGCATACAATGTTCGTGATATTTTTGCAATGTGCTGATACATAAAATCTCTTTTTTTTTAAATCTGTAGTTTCCCGGTAATTTGTTTAGATCTCCAACAAAATAAACTATTTTCCAAAAACACTATCAGAGTTGTCACAGTTGCTATATTTACTAACATGCACATGCGCTTACTGTAAATGTAGGCAAGTATTGTAGGTAAGACCTACCTCTGCTGTTCCGAAGTTAGCTAGATTCCTCATGTCTGCTGCACGAACCTGGGTGTGTCCCACTAAACTGGCTGTCACAACGATGCCTTTGGTACTTACTGTGGCTATGGAGGTGTTAGAAGATGTCCAAACATACATGCCGCTCCCACCCGATACCTGCAGAGAACAGCAAAACAGAGAAAGTGCACACAAGTGTAAGAGTGTGGCAGTGAGAGTAAAGTGTCTTGCCCAAGAACACAACACAATGATCTCAGCCAGGACCTAAACCTGGAATGGCTTGATTAGGAGTCACACACACTAACCATATAATTTATAACAACTTTATTTGCATCAAAAATATACGAATATCTACATGCAAATAGGGTGCCAGCAGGGAAGAACTTAATCCTAATATAAGGCCAACGCATGTCCCACTGAACACTGACAGCCAAACCAGAAATCTAGGCTTGCTCCACATTTCTCGACAGGCAAAGTCCAGTATTTTTGACAAACAGTTTCACTTTACAACAGCAATGAAAACTAAGACACTTATTTTGTGTCGTGTGTCACTGACTAACAGGGAGGACTCATGACTTGTTTCTTTCCAAGAGAAAATGTAAGCCTTACTGTACATGTACATATATATATTAAGTTTGAGAGAGGACACAAACCAAAAGGTCATCCTTGCTAAATATGACTGAAGTCCACCTAGATTATTGTTCCAATTTATTTCGTAGTATGTATATAAGAAGCAGCAGCACCTAGCAATTCAGTTACCTCCAGTAAATATTGAAACTGATTTTGGGCTGCCGTATTCTGTGGTGCCGGTGGATACCACGGGAAAAGGACTATTTCAGGGTTCACTACCACTGGGTCAAAAATTTCTGCTTCTTGCTGCCCTGAGATGGGATGCTCAAATGTGTAAACAACATCTGTACCAAGAATCTGCAATTTGAAAATGAGTTGTTGATTTAAACCAGAAATTAAAACACATTGCAACCACCAGACAACAATGCACTAATTATATGCATGTTTCTCTTCTATAATAACATTTTACGATAATGACTACCTTTGTATTTGCAATGTGGATGTGTAGAGGACAGTTTACCTGTTTACCTTTGCGACTTCTCGACAGTGCCAATAAAACAGAGCATAAACTGTTGCTTCTGCTTCATTGCGGGAAATGTGAATGTGCCGGCAAATCTGATACGTGTATGTAATGCCTGCCAAAAATTACCTCTAGTATGAAGTTTGAAAGGTACATATAATAACAGCACCATTTACTTTTTCACCTGTTCATTTATTTCCTTGGATAGATCAGATCATGATTACGTTGGTGGAAGTACACTACCTTGACACTTGTATACACTGCAGTTATTGTGGTCGTCCCCTTTTGTAGAGTTCTGACATGATGGAATGAACCATTCTTTGATGAAGACAAAACTTCAAAGTAGAACGGATCAAAGGAAGTTGAAATTTCCATATTCTATTGAAAATAGACAAAATAACAATATCACACTTGAGAGTCACCTTTTAAAGTTCCTACACACATCAGTCACATTTTTTCCAAGGACTTTTCCTGGACCTTTCAAGAACATTTCAGCAATATTCAAGGAATTTTTTCCCTCAGAATCAAACAAAAATGTTTCGGTGACGGGAGGGGGGGGGGGACACAAAATACAGAATTCTCAAGCCCAAATTGAACCTTGGCATGATTCCTTATACTTCACATATAGTAAATTCAATATTCCTTTTTTTTTTTCCTAGATAGTGTCAAACATTCAAGGACTTGTAACCCAACGACAACAACGTCAACACCACCTAAAGTCAAGTATTGATGGTAAAAATTTAAGAATTTCTCATCAGTTCTTTTCTTTACTGAGAGCTTTTCAAGGCCTGTGTGGACAATGCCTTACATGAACAAAAGACATTTTATCCATGCACTGCCAGTATAACAACTGGTTATTACATGCACATGTGCTACTTGATGACTCTTTCTGGGTAGGGCTGTCATTAAGTTTTGAGTCAACTGCAGCCTTGATCTTCACACCCATAACAAACTTGTTAGCTCTTAGGTGAATTGTATCAACTATAGTCCAGTGCACCTGTTACACTTACACTCAAAAAGCTTCTTGGACATCAAGATGATAATATTATTAAGTAATGAAGGACGAGCAAATTGACACTATTGTGATTGGCCTCTAATGATCTTTCCACGAGACAACAACAGAACTTGGAAAAGTCTGCCAGGCTTTTTCAATTTGACATTACAACCTTCTGCATGCGTAACCTACAAGTATAGTGCTAGTGGAGTGACTGCGAGATGCCCTCCTTAGGTAAAAACACTGTAACATATGAGCATGTAGTTTGTCTTTCTCTGTATTCCTGACTAATACGTCTGTCGGACCTCAATTGCTTTCAAATTGAAAGGTGGTAGTTTCAAGGCTGATTTGTAGAAATTCTGAATTAAAGGGATGGAAAACCCTCTGTAAGGGTTATTTACACGTACTAAACTGAATCTCCCTGGATAACTTTTACTCGGGCCAACATCTCTTTTAGAGACCTGTGCCTGTATTATATCAGTTGGTTTAAAGAAAATTCTTACATCAGTCATATAGACTTTGTGATTATCTTGACTGTAGATCTGGACAGAGACATCATACTCCACTCCTACTTGTAACACCCAGTCTGAATGAGGGACAATACTAAAACCTGAAAAGGAGAGAAAAACGTTTTTCAAACCTTAGCCCTGATGCCAGAGTTGTTCAATGAAACAAAAGGAAAGGTACAGATTGTGACAACCTAGTCATACATAAGGCCAGCATGTACGTGTATCTCAGATGGGGTGCTAGCCCACCATAAGGGTACCCCAGAAAAGTGAGAGATACTCTCTAAAGGCGCTACCTGATACAAGACAGACAGACAAAAGGTGATTCTTGTCAACTGACACCACAAATTAATTGTAGACAAACCTAGGAATGCTGCCTCCACAACGTAAACTCCAGCAGCAGGTTGATGGACCGCATGAATGTGTAACATATCTGCACAAGTCAAGTCTTTCATCACAGAAGCACATTACATTCATGTATGCAACCAACCATCTCGTAATGCATGTCTCCCACTCCTCAGGGGGTATAAAATCTTGACCTCATTCCATCAGATGTACATGCGTATGCAGACAAATTCTTATTCCCACATCTGAAATTGTAATGCTTCTTTTGTTGATAGTTTTGCATAGTTCTCAATAATTGAAATTTGTAGCTCAATGCATTGAAGTAATAATTTAGAGTGGTTTTTAATTTCAAGAGTGTCAGGAAAGCAAAACCAAGGTAGTCACTCTAGCCAATCACAAAGGATGCTGACAATCCAGTGCAAAAATCTACCAACTAATGCAAGTGCAACTGCTTAACAAGCCTCTTGTCTGGAGATGGTCTGATTGTCATTTCCATCAAAGCCCCTAACACTGATTTAGAGTACATGTAATAATATATGCAAAGGATACTTTTGTCAACAAGAGTAACTCTAGTGTAACCAATATTAATGCCTAACACACTTGACTTCTTGACGTCCAACTGGGCCACTGTGGTATTACTCAGCTCAAACTCAAACTGTGAAGATGGCACAGCTACAGCTAGGGAGGTGAAAATGTCAATGGATTTGTCAGATTCATTCTAATTATTTATATTTAGTACATGTGCATAACAGTCAAGCAGCAAAATCTACAGTGTTTTCATGCCTTTGCCAGTACGTGTATGCACCCTCTGTGTTTATATAATCAAGTTTATTTTCCCCGGCATGCAAAGAATGTCTTGTCTGATAGCCCAGGACTAGTGCATATTCCAGTTGAGCTTGTGGATTCTCTCCTTCCCCTGCCCAATGGGTACCGTAACTGGTTACTTGGGATAATTTCCTAGGAAATTCAACTGACATGTATAATTACTGTAATAGATATCTGTAAGGGCTAGTGAGAATGACCTTCAGGCTAGTACATGTACATTATATTTTATAGTTACAGCTTGTATGAAGAGCAAGCCTGAAAATTAGTTTCCTTTGCAACCTGCTCAAAGCTACAAGTATAGAAAGTTCTGTTAAATGTTTCATAACATTCACCATGCATAATTAAATTACATGTACATGTGCATCAAAGCTGCGGAACACTCTCTTACACAAATGGCAATAACATACTGTATAGCAGTACTGGGTACATGCATACTTATTAAGTAAATGTATTTTTAAGAAATGTCAAACTCCCATCAAGCATTCTCAGCTGTCAGGGGTGATGGGTGTTACCACCCTAAATGAAAGCCTTGCTCGTTTAAATTAAAATATCTGAGAGCATTTTCAAGTTGTCCTTTTATATTATCATTGTAAACTTTTACTGTAGATTTAGGTGTCCTCAGTTAGATTTTAGGGTTCCACCTTGGCTATGATCGCTGACACAAAATATTTATTTTAACTCTTTATCGTCTTTATTATTGTTGACAGAAAGGCCGCAAAAATGATCTAATGTGCAGCACATCAAAACTGAACAAACCTGAAACCTTTCCTCTGTTCAGTCTAATGACACTGTATGTGACAGACGTGTTGACTAGAATGTACACGTCATGCCCTGGTACCAGCATCACATTATCCCGTACAACAATCTTCACTTCCGCTGGAGCAACATTCTGAAGGTTTGAGGTTAGAATAATCATGCTAGAATGTGTTATAAATACATTTATAGTTCAGTTCGAAGGCTGTGACCTAAGAAGAATTCTGAGGAGCCAAAAGGTTCCTAATCATAAAATCCTGGGTGCCCAGCACCCAGAAAAAAAGGATTAAGTTTTTCCAGTCACCCAAAGGCAAAAGTTAGTCGCCTGTGACACCCAGGTGCTTCTAAAGCACTGCTGCCCTAAGTTCAACCTCGCTATCTTGGACTTAACTAACTTGAACTCACATCTATCTCAAATTCAAATCCTTTTCCATTGGAGGTGCTTTCTCTGACAGTCATTTACTATTTAATTGACTATATCAGACACCAGCCCATGCAAAAGGCCTACATATTTGGACAGAACCTTGTTCAATTTTGGCAGTCCTCGCATTTTTTTCATCCATATTTCCCAATCACACAACATTCAGTCAATTATATAACACACAATTTAAACAAACATCCAGGAACATGCAGCATGCTCGGCAGAAATTTGTGATTGTCACTTACAGAAAAAGCTTTGTCCTTTAGTGTTGCTTTCACAATGGCTGTTCCTGTGTTGATTGGCTCAACAACAATGCTGCTTCCACGAGAGCCCTGTTGACCAAAACAACAATTTGATAAATTTAGTTTTTTTTTTCTAATCACCATAAAAATTTATATTGTGTGTACTATGCATTTTGATACAGTGTACTTTAAATAGTCAAATGCATCTAGTCTTAATCATATATAGTTTGATCCAGGGCAGTGTGTTTGAGAATTATAAGATACATGTAACTGTTTTGCCCTCGTCTATTTTAAACCTGCCCAAATTTTTGTATATTCCAGATATTACCTGTGCACGCACTTGATATCATTAATTTTATTAACAAACAACTGCTCACTTTGTGGCAGATGATTCAGACTTGTTACCTTTTCTTCCAAAGCATATATCTCTGGTGATGTTTCGTAACTGGAAATGTCAAACTGCATAAATCTACAAATTAAAGAACCAAACAACAATGCAATGTATTAGCTATGGGCATTATACTGTGACAACACCACAACCACTTCCTTCAATTAAAATATACAGTGTATGTGTACCCTCGCAAGTTCAGCAAGAAAGAATAAAAACTGTAAAGAATACTTGACAACTGAAAACAAGGGCAAAGATGATCTCAAAAGTGGTATGTTCATAAATTTTCTGAGTTGCTACGTATACCAAGTATTGTTAGCATTAAGTTTCCAAGACTGATCAGTAGCTAGAATTAACATGTACTTGTTGATTTATTGTATCTTACCTTAAGACAGACTGTGCACTAACCGATCCAACACCTTCAACTGTTTTGAGCTCCCAAACAACCTCAAGTCCTTCTAAACTGGAAAACAAGTTCCCTGAAAAAGAAAAAAAAATAATTCCACTGGTACAAATGTACATATACCCATTAGCATAAACCTGCATCATGGAGACATTGTTAAAGTACAGTGCCTTGCCTAACAACACAATGTAATGACCCTGGCCAGGACCCAAACCTAGAGTGCTTGATCCAACTCCAGCACGCTAATATAAGGTCCCCTATGTCTCCTGTGATGTAAATTATAATTACAGCACTAAAGTTAATTGTTTCTCACCTTTAGAGTCAAAAGCCTGGATATGACAAACTTCTGGAGATTCCCCAAGCAAAAGTTCTCGTGTAGTGGTAACAATTTCAATTAAGGAAATGATGTCTACAAAGACATCACTTCGTAATAGTACACCAGTAACTAAAAGAGAAATGACAAGTCACAATATATTATCAGAACTTGTCAAGACATAGACGATAGATTTAAGGACAAATAAGGAATTAACCCTGTTCTAGGAGAAAAACTACTTCAAAGTAATCAATCTCTTCGGGATTTTTACTTGTGGGGATCGTAAGCAGCTGCTTTATCACTAATATGAAACACTTTTTCTGTTTTATGTGGAAAAAGCTCTCAATATACCAAGGATGCAGATGTTAGCGAATTATGCAGATCCTACCACCCCATCATGTCAGATGCCCCAAGTCTCTAGCTCAACCCGAAGTGATGTTGTGCTGTAGGATAACATTATAGTCTATTTGCTGCATGCAGTTTATTTAAGCTTATCGTGCCTTAAAAAATTGGGAAGATGTATGTTTTAGTGGCATATCATACTCCTTTAATCTAGTCTCACAGTGGGTTTTTCGGCCTGATTGCATCACACTAAAACATCAGGGCTCAAGCAAAGCTTGCCTGACATGCTACTGACGGAACAAGAAAGGTGTGATTTGTTTAAACGTACCCTCTTCTTCCGCCAATATTTCTGACATTTGTTTCTCTGGAAGCCTTGCCTGTGCTGTTACAATGGCTTCTTTGGAACATTTTCTACCAAGTTGTGTTACTGCAACGTAAAACACAATTATGATGAATCCTCAGCACCATTTTTAGTACTTGTAGTAGATCACTCACCAAAAGAAAACAAATTGTACTTTTTAAAGCTCACACAATGCACGCGAGTCTTAAAGTGTTGGGCCACTGCATTCTACAATGTATATCTACACCCCACCCAGACTCCCACACCCCACCCCGACTCCCACACCCCACCCCCACCACCCCTAACGCAACCCTTTTACTGACATCAAAATTTACTCCATAAAGGAAAAAGAAAAGCCCAGTTTTCTTTCAACCCTATTCTGAAATATTCTAAAAGTCAAACGGCATGTAGGTACCAACAGGGCGACCCACTCAGAAATGACTTTCACAGCCCCTTCAGAAAATCCTTTCCATAGGTGGAGGTGGATATAAAATGGAAACAACCTTGTGTGTAAATGCAGCTAAATGCAGGAACTGTACTGAGCTCTAAAGGCACTGGGAACGAGCAGTGGTCAGTCTAATAATAGTGCTCCAGTTAAGGTTATTAAATAAACCTTCAATGGCCAATTTTTTTCCAAAAATATATTGATTTTGAGCCAAATTCAAGACTACCACTTTATCTGCATTTTCCTAAACAAAGTTGAAATTTAAAACACGTACGAATTATCCACAAAACATGATTTTTTACCATAAGTCACGGATCTGCAAACTGTGATAAGCAAATTGGAAAAATCAACCACTTTCTTTCCTCTTCTAGTACAGCAAACAGGCTGATGAATTACGTGTTTAGTTTTAATGTATAATGTCCTGGGGGAAAGGGGGGGGGGGGGTACGCAACCAGAAAATACTTCAACTAAGAATAAGCTCAAGTTGCACATGCAATTTCAAGGTATCAATAGAAATAAGATAAGCTTATTTAAGCTTGTAGAGGGGGCCCACTTCACTGATAGTGGTTTTCAGTGGGGCTCTGTAAAATAAAATAAACTGTACACTGTACACTAAAATAAAATAAGATTATACTAAGATATACTAAAATAAAAAAGTACTTAACAACAATGGAAACTAAAGTAGTCTTTCTCGTGATCGCCAGAGAAGGACTTAGACTTAAAATTTCTCACCAGATTCTTCTATCTCGCTACTGTATAGAGGCTGGATAGAGGCAACTTCGGGTCTGTGTGACACCCTAGGATAAATCAATTAAAAAAATAAAACCGCCTTGAATTATTCCACTGCAAAAAGTATGCAAAATGGCGGGAACCAGAACCACGCTACGAAAACATACCACAAGTAACACCCCTGCAGAGCTCTCAATGTGAAATTCGTATGCACTGAACCTCTAGGAACATAAGGTAACAGCACGTTTGCAACGTTGAGCGCGTTCTGCTGGGGCTCTCCAAGCACAAATCCTTGCAGAAAGTAAATGACAAGAATATGGCTAACCGACGCCATCTTGGACTCAAAAGCACGTGCACTGCTTTGGTCAGCGGATTCTGTATGACTGATGGTCAGATCCTGCTTCAAATACTCTTTTTCACGCGGTAATGGCAACCAAAAAGAAGATGCCAGATTGAATAAAATAAAATTAATCAACTTTGTTTAACGAGGGTAACACACAACAGTCGTACGACTGACAAACCCATGGCCCTCGAATTCCCGATAGAATTGGAATTTAGAAATGCTAATTTTTGTGGAGGGAGGAAAACCGGAGAACCCGGAGAAAAACCCTCAGAGGAAGGACGAGAACCAACAACAAACTCAACCCACTTATGACACCGGGTCCAGGTTTTGAACCCGGGCTACATTGGTGGGAGACGAGCACTCTCACCACTGCGCCACCCCTGCTCCCCCCTTTTTGCAAATATAACTTTCGGAAAAGCGGAGGAAACGGATTAACATCCATACTAACCCAACTTTTCGTCTGGGATTGTTTGTTGCTCTTACTTGGCCTGTGAATAGTAGTCGCCATAAAATCGACCAAATCTTCACAAATTCAGCCAAATTCAGTCGGGGTTATGAGGCGCGACGCTTTAGCCTAAAGGGGAATGGACCCTATTGAAGGGTGATTTTCAAAAAAATAAAAAGGGTTATGTAAAAAAATGTACAATAGTGGAAAAAAGGAACTGTTCACCCTTGTTTCAACGCAATTTATATCAAATTGAATCACGTTCTTAATTCGGCCAAGCTTGACGAAACGGGGGACTCTCGAGAGCTCCGTTACAGGCGTGATTTTGATTGGCTTTAAAATAAGGAAAATCTAAAGTAGAACAACGGCAAACTCGTCCCAGACGCAGTGATTCTGTTGGTTAGTCCGCTGACCGAAAATGCTCGAGTTCAGGGGACAAGATTGAAATATTGGCGATTACACTACGCCACGTGGCATGCACAAATCAACTGGTAGTTTGCGAAACACGAAACGTTCAGGTTTAATTGGACTGCTGAACAGCTCTATTTTCATACTGATATCATATCATATCGTATCGTATCGTATCGTATCATATCATATCAGCTTTATTGATATCAATACATTTCAGTAACAGCAATAAGTGCATACTAGTCTTTCTGGCTTGGTGCGGCTAGCGTTTCCATAAGCCACAATCCTCGTCACATTTAGTTGAAACACGTGCAAATGTTTCGAATTTCGATCATAGCAACTATTAAGTGTCAAAAAAAAACCCTCACCCCTTTCAATGTTGGAAAATGGGAAAATATATTCATGTGTCCGTTCAAAGAGTTTAGTCAACATTGCACTGAGGCGGGAGGGGCAAAATGTCTGAAAAAAAAGTGGTTCAACCATTATGACGAGGCTTAAATGTGAACGAAATGGAACAGCTTGATGCATTTATTATAGCACCAACTGAGCTTCTGCATGCGACTGGCTTCGAATTAAAGAGATAAACTTAATTTTTAGATTCGATTTCTCGTGTTTTTACCAATAAGATATCAGTGTCAAAAATAACCCACTGATCCACTGACGTATTTTAGCATAACCCAATGACCGACTACGATATGAACACGAAATCTGATTGGCCCACCTAGGGACGGCCTACGTAATTTTAGCACATATCCCTTTAAATAGTTCTTTCATGAAGGCCGTTCTTTTATTGGTTATGCTAATCACTGTTTAGTGATAATCTTTGATTATTGTTTATAGTAGATTTTTAACTTTTAGTACATTTAAGAGGGCCACAAATTTATTAGTTGATAAACTATTACGTGTCACCCTCGATAAATAAAGTTTTGATTTGATTTGACCAGGAGCCAAATTTGACTTGATTTGTCTATTCTGTTGAAGATAGCGAGAAGACGCGGCGATTGTGTTTCTAGGTGTCCCCTAAAGAGGATTTAGATAACGATTTGAACGACAAGTACATTAACGCCAAAACAATTAGATTAATTGTACACTCTCTATTTCTACTCTGTTTCTATGGAGTAGAAATCTCGAGCTTATAATGTAATTGTTAAATAGACGGCGCTAGTAAATCTTTCAAAACTGAATGGCATCAACTTCACGTTTTGGTGAAGTTTCTGAAATAAGTATATTTTTCTTCCATTTTGAAAAGACCTCAAGACGATGACAAAGTACGTTGTGTAAAACCGCTGAAAATTTATCGGAAACCCCGCCAAACAAAATCCTAACTCGAAACTCCAAATGGAAAATCCAACTCGAAATCCAACTCGAAATCCTAACTCGGTAAATAGGCAACCTCAGATTGGTCAGTGGGTTATACTAAAACAATTACACTGCTCGCAACTTTGTTGCTTGGCGAGGGGTTAAACTATCAGCCGATCGAAAACTTCGAGTTCGCCGTCTTACTGATTGGTAACGTGACAGCCGAGCGTCATAAGTTAGTTTCACACCACTGCGTTTTAAATGACCGCCTTCACAAATCAAATGGGCGACGCTTACTAAGAATAAATCTTATTCACGATTTGATATTTAATTCGGCCTCATTATAATTAAAAATATCCTACGTTACAAAAGCATATCCATCAGTCCTCTCCGTGATGACAAAAGCAATACATAATCGATGGCAAGAACTGAGTAAATGGGCACGAAAGCTTTACTTCCAATTGCCATCTTCATGATGTTGTAAAATAAAGCCGTAAAGCGAGGTACCGGTGTAAGTATGATACTAAAATAACACGAGAAAATAATGATCATTGGTCATGTAGGCAGTAATCTATCAGATGGAAATAACTTGAAATTAAAAACTGGTTAATGAAAAAATTTTGAGGGGATTAACTTGAAAGAAACCGTTTTACTATGTTAAATGAAATTGTAACAGAAAACCTCATCGAATGTTTGGAAGAGTTCTCCCGACACATTTGAAAATTGATTTCACCTGAAGAGCAGATAATTCGAACCACGAATTCTGGAAATGCTGTTTGTTGACGGTGGCTAACTGTTGAACCCATCTGAAGAATGTAACTGTTTGTCGACTGAAATGTAAACTGTTCGATTAATGCAAATGTATCACGGATATTTGTTCTACTTGGCTGTAAAAGCGTATCAAGATAACAAACAGATCCCGAGTGAGGTATTCTCTATACTTTTTGGTGTTGATTTTCTTCGATATTCGGGCAATTCTGTATCACGTCTTTGAAAGACTGTTTCTGTTTTTCTTTTCTTTTTTTAATGTTTGATTTCGCTTTTGCTATCAAGAAAATCTAATATAACGTCAAATAAGAAATTTCATGCCATTATATTGTTAGTTCGCTGTAAACATGTAACGGACACGTCATAGGATTGGAACACACAATTTGTCCAGGCAGCTCTTAACAACTTTCTTGTTAAGAAAGAGAATCTTGAGGAAGCAGAGTTAACGTTAACAAAGTTAAATTCTCAGATCGAAGTGTCTTCTTATGATTTTCTTATGAGAAATGTCTTATTATTTCAGGGAAAAGATATTGTTGCCAACAACTTTAGCCGCCTTCCTTATGAAGCATGTCTGATCCCGAATCTTTCCGAAGAAATCCAGCATCGAGTGGGAGACATTGGTAACTATGTTGTGCGACCGCTGAACATGCTGTTGGCCGTCATGGCATTTGTTTGTAACGCGCTGATCTGCATCACTGTAGAAAGAACTAAATCTCTTCAACGTCCTTCACTGCTGATGCTGTGTAGCTTGTCAGTTACTGATTTGATATATGCTCTGTTTTCTCAGTATATGGGTATAAAAACAGTACTAAGCGAGCACATGTGTCTCTGTCATTGGGACCGGAGACACCGCTATGATCACCCTGAGTAGCCTAGCAACCCTTGGCACTCTAGCAGTAATCAGCAGAGATCGTTATTTGGCAGTGGCAAAACCATGGTGGTATCGTAATCACGTGAGTACATCATGTGCTAGTAGGATGTCTTGTACACCTTGGTTAATCAGCGTGGTTGTAACACGCGCGGTATGTTTTTTTATCTTTACGTTTGACGGCCGATACAAACATCTATGCGCAATCACCCTTGTGTATTATTGTGTTTGTTTTATTATCATCATTTTTAGTCATCTTGGTATATATTTCAACAAACCTCCAACGGCTGGAATAAGAGAGATACAGGCGGTAATGAAGAGAGAAAAGAAATCAGCTGCCACTGTTATATTGATCCTGCTGGTATTGTAGTTAACGTTCCTGCCGGCTTTCCTGTGGGCAACAGTTTTTAAACTAAAAGGAATAGAACGCGTTGGGGCATATCGCCCTTATTATTTTATCCTCGCCACTGTGAATGCATTTGTGAACGCTTTGTTGAACTTTGCTCGCAATAAGGACATGCGCAGACCGCTAAGAGGTTTATTTAGGTGCTTCCTGCACGTGCAACAACAACCACAGCTGCAGCAAGAACAACAACAACAACAACAACACCAGAAACCACAGCAGGAACAACAACAACAATAATAACAACAACAAACAAAAACGGTTTGACCAGTTTCAATCAAGTACAAGAACCCAAAATACAGTCACTTTAATAACAAGCATGTTCATATAGTATTACAATGAATAAATTTCCCAATATTAGTGTTAAGGGGGTCTTATACTCTCAGATATGAATTTTTCTCCAGAAAACCAATTTTTTGGAACATGAAGATTCAACATCCCTGTCCATTTGTAAATCGTATTTTGAAACGATTTTCCTCTAATTACTCCTGAATTTACGTTTAAATTAA